TTTTTTTTTTTTTTTTTTTTTTTTTTTTTTTTTTTTTTTTTTTATTTGACAGAGAGATCACAAGCAGGCAGAGAGAGAGGAGGAAGCAGGCAGAGAGAGAGGAGGAAGCAGGCTCCCCTAGAGAGCAGAGAGCCCGATGCGGGGCTCGATCCCAGGACTCTGAGATCACGACCTGAGCCGAAGGCAGCGGCTTAACCCACTGAGCCACCCAGGCGCCCCAAGACTGACTTTTTAAAAGTAGTCAAAAGTCATTCCAAGCTCAGTTTAGTGAACAAGACGTGTCATAAAGCTAGAGAATATCATTTAGGGTTAAAAAAAAAAAAAAAAGCAGTGACTATAAAGCAATAAACTCAATTTCCTTGTATGAATCATAAAAATGGCTCAGAGCTAAGCTACTTCTTTGGCAATTTAAAGATTCATTTCCTAAGTTTACAGTAAGTTCACCAAGCTCGCCCCAGATTACACCTGGAGTTTCCTTTGCCTGGAACACCCCAGATACACATGGATTGTCCCCTCACTTCATTTGGGTCTCCTCCTCCAAAAGGCCTTCCCTCACTCCTGACCTAAACTAAAGCCATCCCTGTCACTCTCTGTCCCCTAACACTGCTTTCCTTTTCTTTTTTTTTTTTTAAAGATTTTATTTATTTATTTGACAGAGAGATCACAAGTAGGCAGAGAGGCAGGCAGAGAGAGAGGAGGAAGCAGGCTTCCCGCTGAGCAGAGAGCCCGATGCGGGGCTCGATCCCAGGACTCTGAGATCATGACCTGAGCTGAAGGCAGTGGCTTAACCCACTGAGCCACCCAGGCGCCCCTGCTTTCCTTTTCTTTATAGGGCTTGTCCCTAGCATAATATTTTATATCTATTTTGTTCATGTGTGGTTAGTATATGTCTCTGTCCCTAGAATATTTGCTCCATGATGAAAGGGACTACGGTCTACTCGCTGTTATAGCTCCAAATTTCTGCTCGATACCTTCAAATAAATTCAAACTTCAAATAAATTCCATAAATATAAGTTTATAATGAAAGAGAAAGGAAGAGAGAAAAGCAATGGAGGGAGAATAAGAAAGGCAACAGAGCAGTTGCAAAAGGAGTGAAGAAACTCTGGGCCAGTTAATAGTTGGTGATTTTACTCTGTAACCCTTTTCTGTAGTAGTTTGAACTGAAGGCTTCTGTGAGAAAATTTCAGATGGGTCTCTTATCATTCCTGATTTATTTCAAAATAAAATGTCCGCCCTCAAGAAAGAGGTTCCACTACATTTAGAAGCATGTAGATAGCATTTACTGTCTTTTACTGTCTTTCCGTCTCCGCAGTCCACACAAGCACAAAGTGAGAGAACATTTGAGAACCTCTGACTGAGTCAGAAAAGTACTTTAGTGATTTTTAGCAGGATTGTTCCACGTTGGTATTACTATGAACATTCTTAATTTCCAGATTTAACTGACATTTGGAACATCTGTTTGAACTGAACACCTGTAGCTCTTTCAGGATCTTCCTTAATAGAGCTGCAGGATAAAGCTATCAGGCCAGCCTCTGAAAATACTTTTAACTCTACATTACTCCTGCTGTGTCCCTCACTTACAGCATGAGGTTTAGTTCCTTTCAAGGGACAAGGATCCAAGTCACATTTCTTTAATGTTTTTTTGCTTCCTCAAACTGTCCATTCCTCATACAAAACTTCACAACAGGATTTGTACCAGAGAAGACAGAGCCCGTTGACATTCCTTTACTTTTTAGCAAATTTAATAGGAAAGATAATTGTATCTCCCTACTGATTTCTGTAATGCTACAAAGAAATCCCTTTTTTAAAAAGTTCAGTTCATAATTAAAATGTATGTACTATGAGGCACTGTCATCCTGTAGGAGTTTTAGAGACTTTCAGAATTCTGGGGCACCTTTAAGCAAATGTAGGATCAAACAGCACAAAATGCACGGATACCCAGACCCCGAGTCTCACATTCTAGTTATGATGAAAATCTTAAAATGAATCATGATGCCAAGTAAGCATCACTACTTTAATACCATTTAAGCTCAAAAATCCCACTTTTTTGGAAACCCAGATAACCTGTATTCCAAAAATAATCACAAGATTTTCTACTATTACTCTTCATCTCTGTTTTGTACAGTGCAATGTCTAACATAGTAATAAGAGTACTAATATAGCATTAATATTTCAGTATGAAAACCTAATGTTTTATATTTTTTAATTGTTCTTAAATGATACCTACTACATTGTAGGTCTGTGTTCAGTATACGTACTTTTATTACGTAGCCTTGCAACCTTAAGAAGCTTATGTTTCTTCTCTGAGGCAGGAGTTTCTGGTGTGTGGGCAGAAGCACATGCTGTTGGTGAGTTAGCTGTACCAGGTAATCTTTTAGGAAATGTCATAGAGTAGGAGGTACGCCGTCTTGTCCGACATGCTACTTCCCTCTCTCTGTGCAGCAACTGTTCATCCATCAGCAATGTTATGACTTGCTTAGACTTCTCCCGGATATAATACCCTGAAAAATACATTGAATTTGTGTAAGTAAGAAAATATTCACTGAAGTTACAATTAATTTCTATTCTAAAGAAAATTAGGGAAAAATGTAAACAGTGTAGCAAAGCAGAAAAATCTGTAACAAGTCAAAGGGAAACCTAAGTTTCATTGGAGTTGTCAATAAGTACTCCTTTTCTTATACCTTAAGAAGTACCTAAATGTGTGATGAAATCATATCACTTATTGACATGACATTTTTCACTCTAAATATATTTCCTTTTAAAAACAATACATTCTCTGCAATAAATCAAACAATGTAGGCATAAAAGAAGAGGAATGAATTAGATCTAGATATAGGACAATGGCATTGGCTAAAGATTTAAAGTAATATGTATGGTTATGAGTCAAATCAGTAAAGCACACGGGAAAATCAATCATTATATATGTATACAGGAGAGAGAAGTAGATAGAGAAATACATGGGTGGTTGGGTGGATGGATGATGGATAGGCAGGCACATGGCCAGTGGTGTCCCCACGCATTGTTAATATCGGCTACCTTAAAGGAGGACATTAGGGTGGGATAAGAGTAGGGAGGACAATTAGATTTTCTTTGACATAACGTCTTATTAAAACAACGTGATGCCATTAATAGAGTGCCAGAGCACAGTCTAAGACCAGAATCCCAATGACAATACTGTCCTTAACCAACTGTGTGACTCTGATATGTTAGGTGGTCTGTCTGGGCTTGAGTTTTCGATGTGAAAACCAGTAGAAGCATATCTGTTCAGTGTAAATCACAGATACAAAAGAATACTCATTCAAATATATAGTATTATTATTACTAATCTCAATCCCTTCCCATGAAAAATGATAAAGGAAAACCACTTCCCTCTCCACATGTCGGGACTAACTCATAATATAACATCTCACGTTTTCCCAAGCCTTCCTCCAGGAGTAAAATGACAAGTCCTTAAAGACCCACTACTATGTTCATTTTGGGTTCTAAGCGTGGTGAATTGAAATATTAATATATCCAACTATAACTTACCAGCAGGGGAAGTAATGAGAAATGGTCAAATGGAGGGTGCTTTTGACAAAAGAGGCCAACATGTTCTCTGCCAGTCATTTCGTTAAGGACTGCTACGACAGGGTTAGAAACCTTTGCTTAAGTTGCCATCTTTCCCAAGATTATTTTATCTACTCTCAGTCTCATTTCTTAGTCACTTCCTCCTTCCAAACTTCCTTTATAACTGCTGTGAAGAGTATCCTTCTTGACACCCTTAACTTCCTTTGAGTAATCTGTAGTCCATAAACAAAAAGTCCTGCAGGGTTTTGGGTTACCACTCCTTGTCACCTGATAGAAGCCTGCTGTGACTGTCAGCCCTTGGGGACAACGTGCCAGACACCGCTACTCCCTTGAAAACTGCTTAGTAGCTTAGTTTGGGGGAAGGGGTGGAAAACTTGTTTTTCCATTTCTAACTTCACAAAAACTCATCTTTTTGCTTCCTCTCTCTCCCTCCACCTGAACCACCCAGACTACCTTATTCTGCTGTCACACCAGGCTCTCTGTCTCCTTCAAGCTGTGTGTTAGCTGTTGCTTCTGCCAGGGACTCTGCATGGCTAGGTCCCTAATTCATTCAAGTCTCTACTCAAATGTCACCTCCTCAGAGAAGCCTTACTTCTGCCCACCCTATCCAAAATAGCCCCATTCCCATCACTCTCTATTCCCTTACCCATTTTATCACTACCTGCTATTGTTGTGTGTGGGTATGTAAATATATATGTTTTTATATACACATAATAATAATTTTATACACACACACACACACAATAATATATACACGTTTATTTACTTGTTTACTGTTTGTTTCCTCACCTACAAGCTCCATGAGAGCAGAGAGCCTCATTCACCCAGTATTTCCAGTGTCTGGGAGAATGATTGGCACATAGGAGCTACTCAATAAATCTTTACTGAGTAAACAAATGGATAAAGGAACAAATTACCAAAAAGTCTCCATTTTCTCCCTGACGTAACGCAAATGGAACCAGATGGATGCAAGGTATCGAGTGCCAATTTACAGCATTGCTGCCTGAGAAAGTTGCCTGGCCTGAAAGAGTTTCTTGCAACATGCTTAATTACAAGAGGTCAGAACTAGAAATTATGGGACAGATGTGGATTATTTCAGTCAGAGTCTGCATGAACTGGTGGGACTTGAAAGCAGCTACAAAAGTTCAAAGGTCCAAGCAGGTACATCAGGCAGAAAGCCAGCCACAATGACGAAGCACTTCTCCCTGAAACATGAGGGCTTCTCCCTGAGGGAGCAGGTGACAGCCTGCCACAATGGTTTGCTTCGGGCTCAAGGCTGTGCATGGCCATGGCTACTCCCCCACCACCATTGAGATGCTGCAGAGTAGAAACCCAGCTGTTCTAAAGCACCAAAGTTGAAAGTGAAAAAAATCCAAAACCCCAATAAATGTGCTTCAAGGATGAGTAAAAAATAACAATTAGTACCAAAAAGATGGTATCTCCTCGCTGCTAAGCAATATGTTTCTGAAAGGAAAGGAGGAACCTAGCACTAGAACGGAATTGTGGAATAGAACACATGCAGGAAGTCACGGCTCTGTGTCTGAAAGAGAGAAAGAGATGGGGGTGGGGGGAGATGGTGGGAGGGAGAGGGAGAAAGATCGACAAAGAGAGGGAGACATGGAGTCTCTGAAATGAGAAGTCAAACTATGAAACAGATCAATACCCAAAGATACACCAAGATGTAAAGCTTGTTATTGACATGAAGGGTAAAGTAAAAATAAAGCTATATTCTATTTTAGTAAGGAAATCAGGGATCTTTGGGTTATAAGTGACAGAAACTCAAACTGAACAGGCCATGGGAAAACCAGGGGCTGCAACTGGGCTTCAAGTAAAGAGGCAGAGACTGGAGAACGCCCAGGACTGCTTTTCTCTCCCCTGTCCCTTCCTCCGTCTGCATAATGCTTTCCTTTTCTCCTCTTGCAGACCGGCTTCCTCCATCTGAATGTGGAATGGCCACAGAGAGTTCCAGGTTCATGCCTCACACTCTGCCACCTGAGAAGCCTCCCTCTTCCTTCACTCAAATTGGAAAAATCCAGGAGAATGACTCGGCTTGGCTCAGCTTGAAAGTCACATGCCTGTCCCCTTGGCCAGAGGGTGGCAAGCTCCCACTGGCAACCGCCATCAGAAGGGCCCAGTGGACTGAGGGGACAGTCAAGAGGACAGAAAAATGAACGAACAGAAAGCCAACCTGAGGAGGCTTCTCAAACTCACACAAAGGACCGGGACATGCAAATCACTAGAGCAACTCTGTGCCAAACCAATAGCCAAGGAAATGCACTTATTCACCTCGGCGGTCATTTGATCATTTTTTCAACACTTAAGTTTCAGGAATTGTTCTAGAAACATGAGTGAGAGAAAAAAAGACAAGATCCCCAAACAAGAAAATTTCAGATACAAATAAATGCTCTGAAGGAAATAAAGCACAGTAAGGAGCTAAACACCGAGCTGTGGTGCAGGGAAGGACAGTCGGATCACAGGCATCTTGCTCAGTAAGAAAAGGCCAGGCCTGCAGCCCTTCAGGCAGAGGGAACAGCTCGGACTTCACCTCCTGCTGAGGGATCACAAGCCCCTCCCCACTTGCCCTTCACACTCTCCAGCCCCTGCCCTGCTCTTGTACAGCACTTCCACACGCTACAATTCTTATTGATTTGATAAGTGTCTTTTTCCTCCATTACAGCATAACATCCATGAAGGCCAGAATTATACCTGCTTAAGAGTTACTTCGGAAATGTCTATTAGATAAATGAAGGAACATGCTGAGAAAAAAATGTCCCAAATGCAGAGGAAGTGCGCCTGTAAACACACAAATGAGCAGCATGTAAAGGGATCTGGAAATACAGTAAATGCAGAGATGTTGGGCAATGAGATGTGACGGCAGCAAAGGCACACAGCAGACTTCTAGAAAAACATGTATTACGCCTAAAACTGTGGTCATAAAATATCTTAACTCCCCTCCCTCCATATGGACCTGACCCACTAACCAACCAAAATTTACTCTTCCTTTTTTTTTTTAAAGATTTTATTTATTTATTTATTTGACAGAGAGAGAGAGATCACAAGTAGACAGAGAGGCTGGCAGATAGAGAGAGGGAAGCAGGTTCCCTGCTGAGCAGAGAGCCCGATGCGGGGCTCGATCCCAGGACCCTGAGATCATAACCTGAGCCGAAGGCACCCCTACTCTTCTTCTTAGATTGCTTTCTCAGTGAATTTTACGTCCATTCTAAACCCAAAATGTGAACATTCACCTCCCACACCTGGGAACCCATGTCTGCTGATGGGACCAACTAGCATCTTCTACATCCGTCCTCTCCGCTCCGTCTCCCTTAGTTTAGTTCGGGTGCTGCTCTTTCCTTGCCTGCGGTGTTCTGAATTATTTACTTATCTCAAGTCTCCCTTATCCTGTATCCTCCACAATGTCTCTGCAGGTTAGCGTGAGGGTAGGGTGGGGAGGGAGGGCAGCAGTATCCCCAACAGTGTCATTTTCAAGTTAAAAAAACCTTCAGTCAAGTTGGCACAGTCAGTTCATGCTTCAAAGTACCCCTGTGCTCCGCTCCAAACACACAGCAGTAAGAGACATCGCCGGCCTCACAAACAAGGTAAAAACCTCCACAAACCAGAAATGTACGAGAAATGAAAAGGCGATGACCAGGGCCGAAGCCACAGGGCTGCTGGGCTCTTGACCCAGTTCCGCTCCTCAGGCGTTAGGGAACCAGAGCTGGTCTCACTGGGGAGCATCCATGTTTGTGAGAGAAGGCTGAGAAGAAAAGAAAAAGAAGAGGAAAAAAGCCAGCTGCTAATTGCTTCCTGGGTTGTCACGTATCTGCGGCTGTGATCTAGAAGCTAGAAGACACGTGAGCAGCCTTAAGGCTGGGAACTACACCGAGCCACCCGCCACCTCAGCGACCGCATCCAAGACACTCTGGTTCTGTCACAG